ATTCCTGCTTCTTTATTTTTTTATTCCCCGAAGAAGTTTATATATGGGCATGGTGCTCATCAAATGCAATAGATTTTGGAAATTTAAACAAAAGTATTTTCTGATATTACTAGAGGACAACGGTGCTTGTGCTGGAGTTTTTACTGCCCCATCTATCAAATTGCAGTGGTCATTTGCAAAGAAAAGTCACTAAAAAGAGCATCATCAATATTCCAAGAAAGATGGTCCTTCCAAAATCATCGAGTTAATGGACCACATACCGACACTGACATTATTTGTGCTTTCTTATGGAATCACACTATTGCCGCTCCCAACACGGCAAGGTGACTCAGGTGGTGTTTTTGTTGTGGTAGCTGGAGGTGGAGGAGTGAGGGAGGTTGGTGTGATGGATATGGAGTTATCAGTACTACTAGTGGTGCTCTCATCCACGCAGCTTCCATCCATTTCTTTTTTGTTGTTGTTGTAAAGAGAGAGGAGCAAGAGAGAACAGAGACAGAGAGGGATGAGGTGTTTTTGTTGACTAGAACTAGAGGTATGATTCGGGTTGTGCACGAGGATTTGAGAATATATATAGATAGAGGGTAGCTGTGTTGGGTAAAGTTTTGGGATTTTAATTTTAATTTTTGATTTTATGAGTTAAATTAAGAAATACGGGGTGGGGTGTACTGTGTAGTCTTGGGGAGAGACGGGGACGTGGGTGAGGTGGTCCTATACGTGTGTGGAGGGTTGTATATGGAGGTAGGGTGGGGCCTCCTTCTTATTACCAAAGGCATGCTGGATATTTTTCCAGGACATTAAACCGAAACACTGTTCAGTCTCGACTCAACTACTTCAAGGAAAGTCTGCCCGTTGCATGCTCTTGGAAGCAATTGGATTATCTACTCTATTTATGAAACAAAGGCCCTACAAGACGTGGAATGAGTCCATGAAAAAGCCATGCAATTAATTCATTCATAAATTTCGCAGGCAAGCATTAGACGCAAACATGGCCTAGAAGACGCGAGCAATTATTTTCTACACGGTCTCTTTCCATGGAAGGATGGATTGACTGCCTGGCCTTCTTAGTTTTCAAATGCCACTGTTCGTGATTAGAATGCCTGTTCTTTTGAGTGACAGATTGTTGAGACCGATAAAAACAAACTGAGAAGTACGAGAAAACAATGGTGGTAAAATTTCATGCTCTCATTTTCACCCATCAACTCACATTGTTCAAGTTCCATTTTATTTGACGCTGCTTCACCATGACAGTTGCCAGTTGGCATTGCATTTCTTCAGTTCTTAATTTTTGGTGCTATGAATTGCTTAACCGTGCAAGCTAGACAATAAACACCGGTTTTGGACTTTCTCTACACCACAACTACATCAGTCTTTCAAGAGTACAGGTCCGATCCCTTCAGAAATTGGGAATTCGAAGAATTTGTGTGGACTTTCTCCACGTCACAACTACATCACTGGTTCAATTCCTTTTTTCATCAGACAATTTAAGAAACTTGGCATTTCTATACCTCTCTTACAAGCACATCAACGGATCCATCCTTTTGGAAATATGCAACTTCAGCTCCAAGACTTGGGCAATATGAATTGGTACAGGGTGTGTTTGTTTTTTGAAAATTATTTTTTGAAAAATTAGTTTTTAAATTTTTTTGTATTTATTTATTATTAGAAAAATTGGTCAATAAAAAATATTTTTTGATCAATGAAAAATACTTTTTAATCAAAGAAAAATTTGACTTGGTTTCTAGAAAAATATTTTCTTTTTATTTCGGATGGAAATACTTTCTAGAAGTTGTGAAAAATTTAAAAATGCCATATTATTTGTTGATTATATCAAATTTGATCATCAAACTTTTTTTTATTATATATAATTTGTTTTGAATATTTGTTTTTCAATTTCATATATTAAAATTTAATTTTTATATTAATTTTGGTTCTTATTTTTATAATTATTATTTACTTTTTCCTTATTATTTTTTAATTAAAATTTTTTATCTATCAAACTTGATCTTCATTTTTTTAATTGTTACTTATTTTATTTGAAATAATTTATAAAATATTAATTATTATTATTTTAATTTCTTTATCTTTCAATTTTTTTATTTTTTAGATTTGATCTCTATTATTTTGATTATTATTTATTTTATTTGAGATAGTTTATGAAATTATATTTTTTTTCAATTTCATTCACATTCAACCTTTTAATTTGTAAGATTTGTTCCTTATTATTTTAATAAACTTGAAAAAAATAAAATATTAATAACTTATTTTCCAACTCATTTTTCATTACATAACTAAACACTATAAATTATTTTACAACTTATTTTTTATTACACTATTAAATTTTAAAAAATAATTTACTTTTCTAATTTTTTTTTTTAAAATTTATTTTCTAACATATCTAAAAATTAAACCCAAAAATTAATGGCACGTACGATGATCAGAATACCACTATGTATTAGCATCATTTTTCTACTTGGTCTCTTTCCATGAAAATCAGGGAGAATAGAATTAACTGATTGGCCTTCTTAATTTCCAAAATCCACTATTGATGATTTGTAAAACCTTTTCCTTAATCACAACACACGAAAAGTACACGTGAAACACAGACGATCTTGACTTGGAACAAGTCCATGGGAATGCCATGCACTTCATTCATAAACTTAGCATTATCATTGAAGGGAAGCATTAGACACAAACATGGCATCCATTAATTATGAGCCAAAACTTCTTGCAATTTTAAGCACCTCAATTTTCGTGTCCTGTATTTTTGTATCGAGTACTGGTCTCGTGGCTGCACTTGATGACTCAGCCTTGCTAGCATCAGAAGGCAAGGCTTTGCTTGAGAGTGGATGGTGGAGTGACCGCAGCAACGTCACCTCACATCGTTGCAGGTACTGGCCTGGCATATTTTGTAATAGGGCTGGAAGCATCACTGAAATTTCCCCACCTCCAGAGTTCCTCAAGGTGGGAAATAAGTTTGGAAAGATGAACTTTTCTTGCTTCTCAAACCTTGTCCGTCTCCACCTGGCCAACCATGAGCTCAACGGAAGCATCCCGCCTCAAATTTCTATCCTCCCACAACTCAGATACCTCAACCTGTCCTCAAATAATCTGGCAGGTGAGTTACCGTCTTCACTTGGAAATCTCAGCCGATTAGTTGAGCTTGATTTTTCTTCCAATAATTTCATCAATTCCATCCCTCCAGAACTCGGCAATCTTAAAAATCTTGTTACTTTGACCTTGTCTTATAACAGCTTCAGCGGGCCAATCCCTTCGGCACTTTGTCATTTGGACAATCTAACGCATTTATTTATGGATCATAATAGTCTCGAAGGTGCCCTCCCTAGTGAAATAGGGAACATGAGAAATCTAGAGAGTTTGGACGTGAGTTATAATATACTTAATGGTCCAATCCCTCGAACATTGGGGAGGTTAGCCAAATTGAGGTCTTTGATCCTTTCTCGCAACGCAATCAATGGATATATCCCTTTAGAAATAGGAAATTTGACGAATCTAAAAGATTTACAGCTTATATCTAATTTCCTAGTTGGTTCAATTCCTTCAACGATAGGTTTTTTATCCGATTTGACTAATCTAGATCTTTCTTATAACGTAATCAATGGATCCATCCCTTCGCAAATAGGAAAATTGACGAATCTAGAACATTTAGATCTTTCCTCTAATATCCTAGCTGGTTCAATTCCTTCTACACTTGGTCTTTTATCCAATTTGATTCTTTTGCATCTTTTTGACAACCAAATCAATGGATCCATCTCTTTCGAAATAGGAAATTTGACAAATCTATGTCGTTTGTTTCTTAAAGGCAACAAAATCAGCGGTTCGATTCCTATTTCATTAGGAGATTTGAGAAACTTGGCATTTCTAGACCTATCTAACAACCAAATCAATGGATCCATAGCTTCATCTTTGAAGAATTGTAAATATTTGACCTATCTAGATTTGAGCTACAATAATTTAAGTGGACAAATACCCTCCCAACTACATAATTTGCCCTCTTTATCTTATGTGAATTTTCGCCATAATAACCTCTCAGGCTTTGTTCCCTTGCAATTGCCACAACCCTTTGATTTGTCTTTCACCTGCGATTCTCTTCATGGGCAAAGAACCAACAGTCCTGAAATTTTTCAAGCTACTGCATTTGAGGGCAACAAAGATTTACACCCTGATTTCTCACGTTGTTCATCTATTTACTCCCCACCTTCAAAAGACAACAGAATAATTCATTCCATCAAAATATTTCTTCCTATCACCACCATTTCACTTTGTCTCTTGTGTCTCGGATGTTGTTATCTGTCTCGATGCAAGGCTGCCCAACCTGAGCCAACATCATTAAAGAATGGAGACTTGTTTTCCGTATGGAATTATGATGGGAGGATTGCATACGAAGACATCATTGCAGCGACCGAGAACTTCGACCTCAGATATTGTATCGGAACCGGTGGTTATGGGAGCGTCTACCGAGCACAACTTCCAAGTGGGAAATTAGTTGCCTTGAAGAAACTTCATCATCGAGAGGCAGAGGAGCCGGCTTTTGACAAGAGTTTCAAAAATGAGGTGGATCTGCTCACACAAATACGTCACAGGAGCATAGTAAAGCTTTATGGATTCTGTTTGCACCAGCGCTGCATGTTTCTTGTTTACGAGTACATGGAAAAGGGAAGCTTGTTTTGTGCCTTGAGAAATGATGTTGAAGCTGTGGAATTGAAGTGGATGAAAAGAGCACACGTCATCAAAGACATTGCTCACGCATTATCTTACTTGCATCATGATTGCAACCCAGCAATTGTTCATCGAGACATATCAAGCAGCAATGTTCTGTTGAATTCAGAATCCAAGTCTTTTGTTGCTGATTTTGGTGTGGCTAGACTTCTCGATCCTGGTTCGTCCAACCATACTGTACTTGCTGGTACCTATGGATACATTGCCCCAGGTAAAATATTTCTTCTTAACATACATATTTACCACTCATGCACTGCAAAACTAAAGCAAACTCTCTCTCTCTCTCTATAAATATATATATTAATTTCGTTTTGTATATGGACAGAGTTGGCTTATACTATGGTGGTGACAGAGAAATGTGATGTTTACAGCTTCGGAGTTGTGGCGCTTGAAAGTTTGATGGGAAGGCATCCGGGAGATATCCTATCATCATCTGCTCGGGCTATTACACTGAAAGAAGTGTTAGATCCTCGCTTGCCACCTCCAACAAATGAAATTGTCATACAGAATATATGTATTATTGCAAGTCTGGCATTTTCTTGCTTACATTCAAATCCAAAATATCGACCTTCAATGAAATTTGTGTCTCAAGAATTTCTATCTCCCAAGAGATTATTGGGAGGTCTCGAGATTTCTTTGTTGGAACTGCGAAATCTTGGCATGCACACAAATGTAGGTGAGATCACAGTTCCTTGCTGAAAAAGTCAACTTTGAGCTCACCTGGAACTTCAACGAGAGCCTCCAAGAGCATGCGTTTATAGAATTTCTTAATTTTGGATGAATTTTGTTTCTTTTGTTTTAGTACACTACATGTCTTTGTAATATTTTAGTGTGACATTGTATGTAATTTTAATAATGCACACTTTTCTTGTGCATGATGCTATCAATATACATGAGCATCATATTAAGTCTACCTCTCGGTCTAGGTTGAATTGAAATCATCACTCATCTTATAATTAGGCAAATCCCCACTTGAAATATGCAGAAGATATTTGTTAACTCCATTAATTTGTCCCTGCAAGCTCTTGTATAATAGATGCCTGAAAGCGGTGTTTGGATCTACTCTCTACAGTCTGTTCTGACTCCTGTAACTATCTGAGCAACATGTTTTGCTCATTTTTTTTCTGAATGATGCACCTTATTATTTATTATTTGGCAGAGATGGAATTTTCAATCATCTTCCACTTCAAGGTTTATGTCTCATGTTTGGAACCACGCTTTGACTTCAAAGGATGGTGAGTTGAGATGTCCTCCCTCCATTGTGTAAATTTTGGATATCGGCAGGCCGCAAAGTCGACCACCATATCTATCTAGTAATAATACACAACAATATTACAAGATGCCTAGCTATAGATTATTTTCAGTCTCAGAGACATTTACTAACAGAGAAAATATATCATAGTATCCGATTATGAGCACATGATCTCTTCGTATCAGCATCTGATTTATAAAAGATTGAAACCAATTTTTAAAGTTGAAATTCTTTACCTTGTTATCACATTGATCATCCCATTAATTTCCCTTTCATGATATCTTTAAATAAGAAAAAGCTTGGGGTATGTGCAACTGTCGCTGATGCTCTTAGACAAGCCTGGAAAAAAAAAATATTTTGGAGCATCATATTTTTCCTTCGACGTTCGTTCAGAGATCGTATATGCTAAATGTTTTACATATATAGTCTAATTATAACAAATGATTATATGACAGTTCATATTCTCCCGCATGAAAGCTCTAAATACCCATTATCTTGGTGACAATTCACAAGTCGCCAATCCAATTCTGCAATTATATTAGAATGCAAGGATAATATATTTATTTAGGATTTTATTAATTATCCCATGGCTGTGTATATTCAATAATTTTCTTTAATGATTACAGCCCCGCATCAGTTTCTTTCTTGTTCGAGGCTTGTCGGGCCTTCAATTGAACCTAAACAAAAACAAACTATTCTAACATGGATACGAAACAAAGCCCAAGCAGCTACTGGCTTAAGCCTTTTTATACGAACAAGACAAATCAGCACGAGATTTCAAATTCTTGCAAGAATTACCAGAACCCACAAACGTGGCAACTCAAGGGCCTCATCGTCCAAAACCAAAAGGCAAGTACTCCCCTAAAAGACAAGATTGTCGGGTTGTCCAGGTCTACTTCTGCAATTACTTGTCAAGTCCTCAATCCAAATGATCTTTCAATTCGATACCCATCACACATTATCCAATTCATCCGTCACCATAAAAAAAACAATTGAAATAACCACTTATTATAATAAATAAATCATCTCTTTTTAGATTAAAAGTTACTTCTAACACGATAATAATAAATAGTTAAGTCTAGTTTTATGATTTTCAAGAAAAACATTTAAAATCAAAAGTCAGTTTAAAAAAGATTACGAGTAATTCATTCTAAATATTTACAGTAAACGGAGCCAGAATCTCAAGAGCCTTTGATTATTAAAATTTACATCCTCACTTAAAATCCAAACAAATTTAGAAATGCGAGAAAGTTTTTCAGATTAGGCTGAAAAAAGAAAAAAGAAACCAACGATTTTTCAATCTTCGCGCTTATTGCTTAATCAAGCAGAGATGGTGGTTGCTTAGATTTTCTCCTTCAATTATAGTTTATCGTTCAGTTTCAACCATAAACAGGCAAGACTCCCACGAATCCAGGCTGTTTTCGGACACCAATTAAGTGGGACCCAAGGCTCAGCTTCTAAACTCCGACAATACAGAGCTGACCATAGTTAAAACCCTTTACGGGAAAATAGTTTCACCCTCTTTCTGTCGTCAACTGAAAGTTAAAAAAATGACTGTAACAAAAAACCATGACGACCATCTTGTTTTGGTCAACCTTTTCTACCTTTGCTGATCATTTTCACTCTCCTTTCTTGATTGCTTCTTCTTGTTGGTTTCTCTTCTATTTTACCACTATTTAATTACAAAATATTTATTATAATATTAAAAAACAAAATACAGCACCCTTTTTCTCCCTTCCCCTACTTCTCCTTCCTCTCGGTTTCCTTCTAATATCAGTTTCCCATTCCGAATAAGGGAAATAAGCCCTAATAATCGAAGTTGAATCGGCCTCATGGATGGTTCAATTCTCCTGGACCTGCTTGTTGAATTACCAAACAAGAAGTAGGGAGGAGGGTTTTTGGAATCTCTGTAAATTGGAGACCTTTTGATAGCTCAAGGAGGATATAGGTATGGCTGTTGTAATGGGATTTTGCATTTCAATGTTCTTGAAATGTAAGGAGTTTCTTTCTCTTGCTTGTGATCTTTGCTGTTTCCTAATTTGCTCACAGAGCAGTAAGAAGAAAAGGGTATTTGAGTTTAAGTTTGATTTGTGGTGTTAATGGGGGAATTCGGTTAATTTGATTATATCATTGATTAAAAGTGTTACTGATTCTGTTGGGCATCGTTAATATTGAATATTTTAAAGATGGTTTGCCAATCCCTAATGCATTTATGAACCTTTGTTGCCCTGTAGTACTACTGTACTTCTTGATGTCCTCTCTGTTTCGACTTGTCTGTTCTTTTTAATGTTTGCTGAAATTGTTATCGTCTAGATTAGATAATTTGAGAAAATTCGGGGACTTAGAATTGGTGATTTACCGCACAATTATCCACTGGTTTCGCTGAAATGGGAGGGAAAGGCGTGCTATTACTTTGCGCAACTCGTCAGTGCCTGCCTGCTTGTGCACTTCTTCATCTCCACATTTTCTTTCATTGCTATAGTTGAACTTGTTATCTGCTAGACTAGATAATTGAGCTTGCGAAATGGCAATTTTAAGGTTTAGATTGCCAATTCGGTATTGTCACTGGATTAGAAGGGAAATGTTACTTTTGTATGCTTGCTCGCTCTCTTTTACTGTGATTAATCTCTTTTTTCTTAAACTTGGGCCAATTTAATGTTCTTCTTTTGCTGTTATTACTGCCTAATCAAAGCGAGGATATGACTCGGGAAAAACTAAGTTTAGCGTTTTCTGACTGGACACTGCTTTATTGCAGCAGGTTTATTGAGATCAAATGGCCGAAAGCTGGGATGGAAGTTATGATCCTGGTAGCCAATCAGATGACAGTCATTACTTTGAAAGACTCCGTGTAGAGCCTATTTATGATGCATTTGTCTGCCCTTTAACAAAGCAGGTTATGCGTGATCCTGTCACCTTAGAAAATGGTCAAACTTTTGAACGTGAAGCAATAGAGAAGTGGTTCAAGGAATGCAAGGAGAGTGGAAGGAAATTGGTTTGCCCCTTGACTCAAAAGGAGTTGAAAAGCACAGACCTCAACCCCAGCATAGCTTTGCGGAACACCATTGAAGAGTGGACTGCTAGGAATGAAGCTGTTCAACTTGATATGGCATGCAGATCTCTAAACCTGGGCAGTCCAGAAAGTGATGTTATGCATTCTTTGAAGTATATTCAATACATGTGCCATAAGAGCCAATCGAATAAGCATGTTGTGCGCAATGCTGATTTAATTCCTATGATCGTTGAAATGTTGAAGAGTACCAGTCGTAGAGTCCGGTGTATTGCTTTGCAAACCCTTCAAACTGTGGTTGAGGATGATGCTGATAATAAGGTCGTGCCAGGTTTGCTTGTTATTGCTGTATAGCTTCCATGACATCATTAGAGTTATGCATTGCTGTTATTAGAGTTATGTGTTGCTGTGCAGCTTCCTTGACATCAACAGAGTTATACATTGCCTGTCTCCTGCTAATGGATCTTCTTTGTTTCTTAGGCAATACTGGCTGAGGGTGACACAGTGCGGACCATAGTTAAGTTTTTGTCTCATGAGCAATCCATAGAAAGGGAAGAAGCTGTCTCATTGCTGCTTGAGCTCTCAAAATCCGAAGCCTTGTGCAAGAAGATTGGTTCAATCAATGGAGCAATTCTCATTTTGGTTGGAATGACAAGCAGCAAATCAGAAAATCTTTTAACTGTTGAGAAGGCTGATAAAACCCTGGAAAATCTGGAGAAGTGTGAGAACAATGTACGGCAGATGGCTGAAAATGGTAGACTGAAACCTCTTTTGAATCAAATCCTTGAAGGTACCTCCTTTGAGCTCAATGTTTCTATTATTTTTGAATTTCATGCAAACATTAGGGCTGTCCTTTGCTAATGCACCTGTACTAATTATGTTAAAATTTGTGATCTGGAGTTAGATGGTAGAAGCCACATAAATTGCAACTTTTGCTGCCTTTACCCTTTCTTTTATTACACATCATGATTGCTAGTTGCTATTTTCAGATGCTGCTATTTAAGTATTTGCTTCATTTGGTCCTCAAATTCTATTTTTTCCAAAATTCAACTTTGTGTTTAGAAAAAATTGGTTTCACATTTTTTTTCTTCCCATAATTGTAGTATCATCTTAGAGAATAATATAAGTCATATTTTAAGGTCTCACCTCACAGTTTAAGCTTTTGGGTTGAGATAATTTTTTGATATGGTATCAAAACATTGCGGGTCTATACAAGTTTCAAGCTCAAAAAGCTTTTCACTTGAAGAGTCGGGACCTTATCTGATATAGTATCCGAGCATTAATGATTAAACGTCATGAGTTTAAATCTCATTTTCTCTTTTAATTAAAATTAATTAATAGCACATGGTAGTGTGAATCTATCCAATTTTCAAGCCTAAAAGGTTTTTATTTGAAGGGGTGTGTAAGAAAATAATACAACTCAAATCTTAGGATCTCATCTAATATCTTAAACTTTTGGGTTGAAATGGTTCTTTGACATCTTTAATATCTAGGCCCAAATGCATACATTTGATCATGCACATGCCATATTCCTCTGATTAATGTGTAACCAGAACGGAAATGTTGCAGGCCCACCAGAAACTAAACTGTCTATGGCTTCATACCTGGGTGAGCTGGTCTTGAACAATGATGTGAAAGTCCAAGTTGCTAGAGCTGTTGGTTCATCTCTGATCAATATAATGAGAAGTGGTAATGTACAGTCAAGAGAAGCTGCTTTGAAAGCTTTGAATCAAATTTCTTCTTAT